TTTTTCCATCATCTCTAAGAAGATACTGGAGGTAAGAACTATGATTCTTTGTTGTTGCAGCATTAAAGGCAAGAAGGGTTTGTCGGCAATATCCCCAAGTGGTGACAGCAGTATGAACAGTTGCCAGTGTGAAAAGGGTTATAGTACATCCCTTGTATAACTTGTGGGCAGAACTAGTATGGCGAAAGAGTACATGGATTGATAATCCAAATACAACACAGTAGATTCCTGTGGTTGAGTATCCATAAATATGACACCATGCAAAAGTGAATATACATACCATATACAAAAAACAATGCCTAACAAAAGTCTATCATTATGAAACTTGTCAGACAAAAAAGAATCACAAACAGAGAGGGTAGAAATCGGATTAGTGATTATGGTCGTAGCATTCAGAAAGGGTGCCAGGATATCTTCAGAGTTATTTGTAGAGGACATTAGCAGGGTAACAGGGTACTTGCAATGAGTTTGAAGTTGATCAGGAATGGAGGAACTTGATTAATCTTTCATAACATAGCTAGGCTACTTATAAACCTGAAGGGCTTTGGTGTGAAAGAACAAAAAAAAATTTCTATCAACTATCAGTATATTTGAAACCATCAAGATTAGATCTTTATCCCATCTTGCTACAGTAGTTGTCCTTAGTTCCCAACTCTGACGACTTCCAAGGTGTACGGACAAAAATATCCTCCATTTAGTATTACTACACTTGAAACCATCAAAAGTTCATCTGCATCCCACATTGTTTGCTCTACAGTGATGGTCATTGTTAGCTCCCAACTCTGATGCTTCTGAACATCTCCTTTTTTAGTGATTTCTTCTGAAGTACCCATCATATAATTCATCTCATCATGTACTACCTGTGCCACCCTCCCGATATCAAACAAAATCACCTCTTCTCAAGCTGTTGGCTCATGCCTATCCTAAGTTGTAAATATAAATAATGCAATCCCCTCTGATTGGATCTTGATGCTCAACAGCAATATCAATGCCATTGTCAATGGAACAAAATATCTGATGAGTGAAACTATGATCTGTTTTAGATGCTGGGTTGTTCAACAGGGGCATGTAGATTTTGAAGACCAGATAAAAAGACAAGGTAGCAAGTGCAGGTAAGTACAGACTTGAGAACAGGTTGAGAACAGGTAAGAACAGATCAAGAACAGGTTAAGAACAAGTAAGAATAGATCAATATCAAGGTAAAGACAGGATAGAGAACAGATAACATACCCATGAGTTCAGGTTTAGTTCTAGTGGGATACGTTGGGTGTATGTTAACCACATTGTCGTCGCCAGTTGCGACATTGCAAATTATGAAATGCAAGCTTCCCAATATCATTGCCGAGGTGACTTCCGCTATGTCCATAAAATTGAGACAATTGCCAAGGCAACTTCTGTTGCCCAGATAGTATTTTGCTACTTATTCCTAAGCAATTTGATGGTAGTAAAGCCCCACATTATTTGCAATTTCCAACAACTCTGCTGTACCTGGAACCAAATTCAATGACAGTGTGTCCATAAGGGAAGAACAAAGTCATTTAGTACCACAATGTTTTACTAATGTTGTAAGCTTCAGCTTCACTAGCAGTATCATTCATACAGCATGACCACCACTGCTCACAGCTCAAATTTTTCTTTTCAATTTATGGGTTGTAAGGAGCCATGGTCCTGCCAGGAAACAAGCAGCCCTGAGTTCAATTCAAAACATTGAGTGTTTTTCTTTGTCACAAATTCTCTCAGCACCACACCCTTGTACCTCTTACCCAACGAGCATTAATTACTTAGCAAGATTTGAATACTGGTGCCAGTGAAGATCTGCAGGTGTGCCTAGGGGAGCTGGCAGAATGTCAGGCAATGAGCAGCCCTTTTGGTATGGTCTTCTTTCCCTAAGCTCAAGCTGCAGCATACAGCTGTCACTTTGTAAGGTCTGTAAAGGTTTTCTTCATTGGCTCTGTGCCACTGCAAATTCCCTCTGATTCAGGTTTCCTGGAGACAGTGATGAAAGCATTGCCATAGTACATTAGTCCTTTGTGATATTTGATATACTTCAGTATGGGTATAATCTATGCTGCAATAAGGCCTTCAGTATAGCAGTAGCGGGTGCTGCTGCTGGCCGGCCTCGTCATTATGGATTTTAACCGGTTTTTTCAAAAAACACATCCGCCCAGAAACGAACAGTGCACGTGCAATTCATGTGACAACTCACGTGAGTTCTTTGCAGCTCACTGTGCATTCATGAATAGTAAGCCCCGCTTTCTACTGTACAATGTTCATCCCCATCCCATACCTGTCCTATTTGACTTGGTAGGTAAATAGAGATAGATACAGCACACAAGGATACTGCAGAAAACCACCACACAAGAAACACTGTGTAAAAGTCAAAAGAGAGCCTCCAATCTGAATCCTTCTGACCCCTAGGACTGCCTAGAAATGACAAATGGCATATAAACACATGCCTTCAAAGTCTGGCAATACAAAACTATGCATCATTTTTCTCTCCCCCATGGAGTCAAGTTGCTGAGTTATGGTCATCACCTCACTGGCCTTCTCCACATCTGCTCGACATATCCTGCTCTAGCACCAAAACTAGACATTTTGAATTACACAAACAGCATAGGGTAAGCTAAGACATAGATGATCATAATAGCAGAGAGACTCACCTTAGAATTAACAGCTGAAGGCTGGCCCAAAATCAGAAGGTTAATTAGTCAGTGGACAGGGACTAGGTTTGGGGCTGGTGTAACTTCTGATGTGCATATTCAGGACCTTAGCATGTGCAGATCATCAAGCAGGAGATTAATCACAACCTTCTTCTCCCTTTTCACTTTCACAGACAATTACAGCTATATTACCCTACATTACAGATGAATCAGCAACTGAGATCAAACACAAGTTCTAACCTCAGAAGTTGGGTCAAAAAGTTTCAGGGCACTTAGGAAACAGATTGCAATTTGAGTCATTCAAATCTCATGGCTTTTGCACAGGACCACTGTCATGTAGCATTTGGGATACTGGTGAGGTGGTGGCAATCACTGAGTAACTGCAAGTAATGAAACAAGATTGTTGAGAATATGCCCTTGCCAACTTCACCATGTTACTCCCGGTCGCATTGCTACTTCTGCATGAAATTTCCACCAGTTGATACATACTTCATATTCAGATATTCAGATTTCATACTCATTGTGTTTTTGCCGATGTCAAAGAATCTCAATTCAAAGAAAATGTTAAAGCAGCTGAATGAGTTACTTGAAAATTCATGTTAAAGTAGACTCCACTGTCAACCAGCTGTGGAGAATGTCTGCATAGTTACTATTCGGCTACAAAAATCCAAAAATGTTGTTCTGACCAGGGTGACACTAAAGATCATGAAAGTTGAGAAAATGTGGCAACTCAATGGCTGCAGGTCTTAACTTAACACAAGAAAAAAAAGACAAGATAATGGAACAGTTTGACCAGATCATCAATAGTCTAGTCAATGAACAATTCACTTATTGTTGCTGTAGTGCCAAAAAAACTGGGAGAGATAAGAGCAGTTGGTTGGAGGTGTCTAAAGTGGGCTATAAAAGTCATAGAGACTCAGGTTACAGTGATTAGTAGAAGACATGGTGTAACTGCACAGACAAAACTGAGGGTTGATTCCTACAGCAATCAAAGTATTCACCCTTGGTCTCTCTGAACACTGGAACCAGAACTGGCAGTGTGTATTTCAGACCAGTCAGAACTAGAACTGCAAACAGCATACAAGTCAAAAGAGAACCTGCAATCTGAATCTTTCTGACCCTTAGTTCCCCCCATGAAGTTGCTGAGGTTATGACCATAACCTGACCAACATATTCCACATGCTCTATGATATATCCTCATTGCTCTGGCACAATAAGAAATTTTGAATCACACAAAGAGATCACAGAGTGAGCTAAGACATAGAGCATTATTATAGCAGAGAGACTCACTCTAGAAATAACAGCTGAAGGTTGGTCAAAATGTAGAAGATTGATTGGTCAGTGGTTAAGGACTAAGTGTGGGGCTGGTGTAACTAAATAAATCAAATCTGAGTGCAGGGGAATGTTGGGTACACACTATAGGAATGATCGCAAACTACGGTTGAGTTGAGATATCTTTTGTGGAACGGGGTCTTTAATCTCGGATATCCCGTTTTTGAAACTTCTCTACAACTTAAGTACGTTACCTCGCCTAGATCTATAACATGCGCTGTCTTCCGCTGTGGCTGATATCTGACATAGGATAACAGGGGTATATACTTCCCCGGGTTTTAGTATCGTGGGCGCATGAACAGAAATCGTATAAATGAATTCGGAACGCACTGTAAGGACAATTGAAGTTCCTTTCCCATCGATAGCGTAGGGAATGATATCCAGGGTTTGATTTTGCCGAGCATAAGTCTACCCCATCTTTGTGGTTAAATCCTCAAGAGAGTTTGTGTGTGCTTCGATTATAAAGCTCAAATCTATCTGTGGTTGAATTGTAGACGGCGAACTATGCTGTTTTGAACGACGAAAAAGAAATTATCCATATTCTATACCTCGTACGGTGAAAAAAAGCTAGTTGCACATTCCATTCTGATGTTCATCAATCGTATCGAGGGCCTATCTATCACTCATACAGTACTATGTCTATCTCCCGACCTAGCCTCTACCAGCGTCTATTCCGTTCCTTCCAGTTTGGTTTAAGATGCACATCAAATTATCTTCCTTTTCTGAACCTTTCCCCGGCGAATAAGTACGTCTCGGTGACACATGGAGGCTCTTCCACCTGTGGGCCTAGCCTCCGCAACTGCGGTTTAATAATTTAGAAATTGACCCTTTCTCTGTATGATCGTTATGTGCTGGTCATCCGCTCTGGATCTTTTAGAGCTTACCGAGCAGAGTTGGTTGATGTCGGAATGCTGAAATGCCGGTACGACACGTAGGAGCTTTTATGAAAGTTGGTGTATCGGACCTCAGGCGAAGGGAAAGGGGAGACGGAGAACGTGCAAAAAATAATGGTTCAATCCAGGATCGAACTGGAGACCTTCTGTGATTATACAGTGCCACCTTGTGGGTGTAAGACAGAAATCATAACCACTAGACCATTGAACCGATATTGGATGGAGCACGTTGTACATATATATCCTGACCATTCACCTAACCCTAATCGTAGCCGTCGGAGCCCCCCGGATATGGGATTCACACGACGCACGGACCGTATCGTCACCGTCAACCTCGTTTTTTTTTCCCTCTTCCGCCACCATACCACGACCACCATTTCCGTAGACAGCGATGCTTCGCCAATCCTTCCGCCAAACGCTCCTCAAACGTTCCGTTCGTTTCAACTCTAGCTCTTCAAAACCCACAGTCGAAGGAGCCCAAAAGAAAGCTCAGGAAGCGTTTGCTAGCACGCAACAAGCCGCTGGAAAAGCGTTTGATAGTGCGAGGAAGGCCTTAGGTCCTATTGGAGAGAGAGTTGGAGGATTACTTGGATGTGAGCTACCATTTTTATTCATTTTCCACCTATACACCCCCAGTTTTTCGCGTCTTTTCCCTCCATTTTGCAGTTAACTAACTCTCACTATGTCTATACGCAGCCTACAAACAACCTGTATTCTACAACCTAGCCGTAGCTCGTGAGCTTGTCAAACACGTCTACAGAGCCGAACGTCTATCACCCCCGAAATCGGTTGATGCTGTTCGTGAAGCATATGGAACGCTTTGGTCTCGGGCTAGCAATCGAGAGTATTGGGTTAATGCGATGAGGAGTGGGGAGATTGCGAGGATTGGGGTGTATGCGCTTGAGGCGTATGGGATTTTTAAGGTGAGTGAGGGTTGTTCATCTTGGCTGCCTTTCGTGGCTCCCCCGGTGTTTTATCAATCCTGTTCGCTCGCGACTTCGTTTTCTTGTTCTTAAGCCCATTAGCTTTACCTCATCTCCCTCCGTTTCTCCCTCTCTTCTTCTACTCCCTGTGCAAAGACTGACCTCGCCTTTTTTGATTACAGATTGGAGAAATCATAGGAAGGAGGAGTCTCGTCGGATACGACTTGCATTAGAAGACGCGATTACCACTTTTCCAGATCCGCGTGTTGTTACAGATTACCGCTCTTACCATCCACTGTTCTTCAATGAAGATGTCTTTCATTCTCAGTCTTGGACCTTGTCGGATCCGAAAGATAAGCGTTTGGACATCGTCTCCATCGTCGCCAAGCCGAGGACCATAAATATGACCTCCCGGTTTCAGATAAACCTTATATCTTGCTTTCTGGAAGGCCTAATCCAATCAACGTTATGCGTTCCCTCCACTGCCTTAGGAAGGCCGCAATCCTCGTCTGCGACAATCAAAAATGGTGGTCAAAGACGCCCCGATGAGTGCTCAAAGCCGCATTCAGGGGAAATGACAGTGATGGTTGTGTACCCGCTGACCATTCGGATTGTGTCTTCACCTACCACGTCCCAATTTCGTTTATAAACGCTATTAGGCTATATTTCGGGATGCGCCTCACACCTTTTCATATCTTACATCATGCGTTTTCACTATCACTATCACGCTGCTTTGCACTACTTATTTTCTTTTTTTTTTTGCGTTATGTATTACGACTCGAGTACGGGTTTTGAGGTTTTGTCAGGTAGTGGAGATTGTGGAGCAGAGGAATGCTGAACATGAATAAGGAATAACAGTGTAACTGGGGAGATGTAAACATTGCAACAGAGGTGCGGTTTGTTCGTCATTGTCAATGTTGGCGCCTGACCGTCTCGTGCAATGGGTGACCTGGCTTCCTCAATCTGTACACACACGTAGGTACGAATCCAACACGACTCACCCTTCAGTCAATCCCAATGAAAACTGCGTTCGTCAGATATGTTTATGTAGATATGTGTCTACTATCCTCTTTATGACTTGACTGTAGATATAGGAACCCATTTATAACACTATGACTACACCCAATTGTTTGTGACTCACCTGTGTTCCTTTCTAGAGAGTTCAAAGCATGGTCCATGGAGACTGCTGGGTCTCAATCAGATTACAGGGAAGGATACATGGGAACTGGAGCATGGCCCCGAGGTGCATATATAGAGTTTGCCTTCACATCTATAGTACACAGAAAATCCTTCCTACTGGCTGGCTATTGGCTTCATTTGGTCCCCAGCATTATCTCCCTCTCCCTCGGCTTCTTGAATACAATGAACTGTCATCAGTAGGTTTCTGTATTGTTCAAAGTCATCTGTAAACTGATTCATCTCATACGGTGAATATTTCCATTATTCTCACTAGAAATCGACGACATTGTCCTAGATCGGGTATAACAAATTTTTACTGATGTCGTTTAGCTTTGATTCATACTTTTTTTTAATGTATCATGGACTGAAAGTGGACATCAGTAATCATTTTCCGCTGTTTTAACCTCGAATCTGAATGTCTTTAGAATTATCTGTCTTTTGAAGACACTTGCTTGATATTATTCAGAGAGAATGGGTCTTAATACAACTGAAAAAGAGGGAAAATGCTCTGTGTATCTTCGGTGTATATAGCGGGTCAAAAATCCTTTGCAGGGTGTCGGGATATTGTTCAGAATATGCCAGAAATGTCATGAAAATCATGAAATTCTGTCGAGATCCTGGATATTCATAGGATATTGTGAGAATGCTGGTATCCTTGGTACACCCTTGCCCAGTGCAATATGAGATTTTATACAGTGCTAGATTGACATTGTTATTATTGAACAGAAGGTTTATAATGCCATGCACACTGGCATTTGAAAAGGAATACAATCCCAGTGGTGGCAAAAAAGATGGTTGCAGTAGTATCGACGTGGGGATCACTTTCACCTGATTTAGTAGCCTAGTCTGGCACTACCCGCTACTGTGGCGTGGTCCTCGCCATTTGAAGTTATGCTGCACCATTTGCTTTTTCGAGTATATTACCATCTGAATGCATAATATATCTTACCTATATAAGTGTAAATAGATGCACAGGTAGGTAAGTTCACCCCACGGAACAGGTGGTGGGTTCTTCACGGATCAATTTCACAGGTCAACACAGGTTGGTTTCACGGGTTAATTTGAAAAATCTGTCTCGACCCATAAGTGACGGATGTGCCTCCACATGGGTGGTCCGTGCAGAACCTGTTGGAAATATGACCTTGACTTCCGAATGGTTTCAAATTCCCTTTAATCCCTGATACTTCCATTTGATACATACATCATAGTTACTTACAATTGATACATCCTTCATGGCATTTCATACTTGATCACTTAGTTTTACACGTACTGTAAAAGCCCTAGATAATCATTGAATATGAACAAGAAATCACCTTCTATCTTTACAACAGAACCTTCTTATTTATATCTATCTTACATTTTTAGTAGGTTGTCAATAGAAATATCCACATAGTACATCATTAATACAATTTTTTGTGCCACCTCGCTTCTCATTGTATGCAGCATTGTGATAAATATAGGCTTTCAGGTGGTGGGTTGATGTACCATATGATACATTCTACTTGGGCATGTCTGAGGGTATTCAGAGCCCAAGTTGTAGGTAGTGAGCAGCAGAGACCAGCTCTGGAATTGGGGTAGTAAATCCAAAGGAGATAGCTTTGAATGTCATCCATGCTATTCTTGCTTAGTGCAGCTCCCGGACCTGGAGTCTATCACAAAACCAGTCCCAGGTGATGTAGACCACTGTGCCAAAAGGCTGGCAATGATTGCTTCAGCAATCATTGTGGGACTTGCTATATAAAGTCATTGCATACTCTATCACTGCCCAACTCAGTGATGTGGGCCATGGTCACTTTTTGTGACAGAGTAGCAAACTAAAAGGAGATAATGTATAGGTGATTATTTCGCTGGAGGGCCTCTTAACTTACCATCACTCGTTGTTAAAGAAAAACTACTACATTTCATTTTGAATTTGTAATATGCACTATATAAGTAGGGTATTGTTATGAACTGATCACCTTTACTGATGCACTCAACTGAGTGAGATGTTTAAGGCTTACTCAGAGTGAGGTCTTGATTGTAATAATGGAATTCAAGGAGGATCAGGAGAGCAAGATGGTTACTATTATTGTTTTCTGCAACTTACTTAGACTTACGGGTGGGTTGCAGGTTGTAATACCTAACAGTGATGTGCTGAAGATTTAGCTTCAAGACATTGTTGTTGGCTTGTTATAGGCTAGTTGCTTATGTGGCATGCTAGAGAAACATATAGATTATGAATATGGTTACTGTGTAGCAGTACCACACTACAAGTCCAGGATGGATAAGAGGGTATAAAGTGATAATATGTACAGTACAGGTTCATGCCATGAAGAAAAAAGAATAAGTGGAAAGATTCTGTGACAGAGGCGGTTGTAATGAGCATTAATGAATGGCAGAGAACCAGGAAATAGAAGGTTTGTGCACTTTCCTATGTAGTAAAATCATTCCAGTAATATGGTCGGACAGAAAGACACACTGCGATCAACGACGTTAATCGGCTATAGAATTAGTGGAAGTAACCCTGCTTTTTACAGAGGAAAAATTTGTTGAGGAAAATCAGACATGTAAGTTAAGAAAATGCGATATGATTGGTTCAAAAAGTAGCACTTTACAAAACCCTAAGCAACACACGATCGATAACTGAATGATTCTACAAAAAAGACAGAAATTGCCAAACCCCGCGACCAGAGCGAACCCACTTTTGAAGCCATGGCCATGTACTCATCTGGGGTGAGGCGGGAACAATGAAAGAAGGAATATAGTTTTGTAATATTTTGGATTGTTTTGGTGTTTTTATATGATGAAGGTTGAAAGAGAGGTGAAAGGCAGGAAGAACGAGAGCCCAAGCAAATTGAGGTGCAAGCAAGAAGTCGTTTCACATTGCCATTACGGGATCTGGGTGATCTCGTAGCTACCCTGTTTTGAATGAGACACGACCATCGGAGCAAATAATAGTATGACTTACATCGGGTCTCTCGATAAATCTCCATTCAGTAGATTCTATGTGTAAGGGAACCAATTATTATGGTGTGGGTGGGAATGGTCGGATGTCTACTCACGCATTATTTTAGAAAAGTCGATCGTTTTGATCACCCTGGACCTTACATCACCCGTTATGGTGGAATTC